CAGAAAGTGGTGGTGCTCAAGGTCCATATCTGGCAAATAAGCTGACAAATCGACAACTGCAATACTTACTGTTGTACAGATACACACAATATTGAATTTATTGTCGTTACCCCGTACTGTGGCTGTTGATTCATTTCCACATCCAAGAAAGATAGTTTTTCTTGTGTGTCTTATTGTCGAACATAGTTATTGGAGAAGAGACCGCTAATGTATTATAAAAAGTAGTGAAAAATTATTTGAATTAATTATGAATCAGAAAGTTTTGTTTTTCTTGCCTTTTTAAAATGATTACCTTTTATCAAAGTTAAACTTTGTGAGGTCCTCTCCAAGGGGGAGCTGAGTGTCCAAGGGTGATCTTTCCGGCAGTTTAGAATTAAACCTGTTTTTTTCTCAGTTGGTTAGTTCTCCAAAGCTGGAATTTGGATAACTGGAAACCTCAATAATTCAGGCCAATTCAACGCACCAGAGCTCAGCCCTACTTTCTGTTTAAGGATTAGGCTCAGGAACCCAAGCTCCTAACAAACCATTTATATCCTTTATATTTTCAATTTCAGCTCAACCTTGAAATACTCACCGTACGTACGTTTGCCACCTGACTGAGCTTTTCTTCTTTCCCCTCCAAAACAAATGAAATTTGGAAATTTGTAAACTGGATAACTTCCACAGACTCCATTCAATTCCTTTTTGTATTTCACTGTTGTTATTTTGTTCAATGCAATGAAAAGCCAATTATGCGAGCAAGTTCTAAATAATTTCCCCAAGTTTTAGTTTGTCTTTTTGAATGCAGTTATTACTGCAACGCTTTGTGTGTGTGTGTGTATATAATGTTATAGAATCATAGAATCTTACAGCACAGAAGGAGGCCATTCGGACCATCATGCCTGTGGCGGCTCTTTGAAAGAACTACCAACTAGTCCCACATCCCATTCTTACACCTTAGCACTGCAATTTTTTTCCTTTTTAAGGAAATTCCCTTTTAAAACCTGTTATCGAATCTGCTTCCACCATCATTTCAGACAGTGCATGCCATAAATAATAAATAATGTTATTTCACATTACATAATTACCTACTTCAGGAGGCAGACAGTAACCTCTTTGATGTTTTGACAGATCAGATGATGTTATGTGCGTTGATGCCAGAGAAAGAGAGAGAGGGAGAGAGCAATTGAGGCATCTTCTTGCATTGAGTTTCAGAACAATTGATTTTCAACAAAACGGGACTGATGCTCTGTGGGCACACACTCAGTCGATTTTGTGTAATTTCCACTAACGCTGAACATTGCCCACTGAACTAAATTTACCAGAAAACTCTGGTGGAGACAATTGAGTGAATCCGCTCAATTTTTGATCTTGAAGCAGTCCCATCACCTTGCATTTGCTAGTTGTTAAGTTATGCTCGGGTTTTAGTTTACGGTAGGGCATGAGTTGCTTACAACCTTGTAATGAGTTGGAGCCAGTCAGTGCAAGCAGTTTTGATTTGATGCCAAGAGGCTGCATTGCGTGTGATATCCTTCTGAATCGATTATATTGGTTGACAACAATGGCCCTTTAAATGTGATTATGAGACAGGAATTTTCAGTACACAAGGAGACCATTGGCTCTTTATGTATGTACCACTGATACCTCTGCTTTTTAAAAGGCATACTTTCTGAATTCCACATTTCAGCTCTTTCCTCATATCCCTTACATTTTTTATTTCAAAGATATTTATCCAGTTAAACCTTCAATGTGATACGGGGAGGTTTTGGCAGGTGGGTTGCTGGAATACTTTTGCAAACCAGCACAATGAACACAATGTGTTAGAACGGGACTTTCGTATTTCTAAACCATGACAAACTGCTGCAGTTGCAGATTGCCTCCTTCAAGGCATGTCTCAAGACCTTCCTCTTCGACCTTGAGTCGCCCTCCTCCCTGCCCTCCAACCCTCTTGACCCAACCTTCAGCTTGTGTCCAAAATGACTGTCCAGCGCTTTGGAACGAACATCCTCCCAAAGTGAAAGGCACTGTGTCAATGTAATTTGTTGTTGTGTGGCCCAGTTCCAAATTTTGTGGCACTTCTACAGACAAGTTCTCAAGGGTGAAATTTCCCTTCAAAGAGGCTGTAAAGCTTTCCATTAATAACAAGAAAGAATATGCATGTTTGACTATGTTTTGTAACAAGAAGAGTGAAAGTACCTTGAAGTAAAAGTAAATTCTCAGCCACTTTTAGAATGAGTCACAGGATTTTCATAATATCACTGCTGAATACCAGTGATAGCACTGTGATTAGCATTAACAGTTGGAGGTTTTAGATTCTAATTTCACACTGCATTTTTAATCCATTAAATTTGTTAAAACTCTAGGAAAAGACTTTGGAAATTATCTCAATAGCAGCCAATGGTTTAAAAACTTCCATTTGCTCCTTTTTTTAAAATGTTGATCAAAGGCATGGAAACATTGTACCTGACACCTAATTGAGATGAAATGCCTCCTTTAAAGGATTTTCACAGATTTATTTGGAGGAATGTGAACATAAATCCATAATGTAAAGCGTGAAAACGTCATACAGAAGTGCAATGTCTTGTAGTTGACACAGTTAAACCTTAGTCGCCTTGTGCTTGACCACACACCAGTTCTTGGATTCATACAGGGTGCCCCCATCGCTATAGAGCACAAATTCATTTGTAAGGGTTGGATGTCCTGTGGACCTGTAGCTACCAGAAGTTTCTGATGCAGACAGGCAAGAGCAGAGAATCATAAAAATTTACAGTTCAGAAGGAGGCCATTTGCCTCTCAGTCTCTTGGATCATGTATGTCCTAGAATAAATGAGTTTGGCAATCTCAACTCACTTCCTTCTGGGTGCGTAACCTCCTTTTGTCAGCAAATGAGAAACTTTCTGTATTGTACCATCAGGTTGGTAATTGACCATTTTATCACACATTGCTTCAATTTGCTTTTAAAAGAATTGACACTTTCTTTTTCCACCATCTCCCAAGGGAGTCTGTTCCATACATTTACTACTCGCTCACTGAAATAGCATTTCCCCAGATTTGTTTTGAATTTACCCCTTTCAATTGCAGGCCATGTCCTCTGGTTCTACTGTTCTGGACAAAATAAAACAGCTTATCATGGTCTACATTCTCCAGTCCCCTTAGAATTTAAAAAAAAACTATCATATCGTCTCTCAACCTTCTTTTCCAGCATGATCATGCCCAGTTTACTTAATCGCTCCTCATAGTCCAACCCCTCCATCCCCTCAATCATTCTAGTTGCCCTCTTCTATATTCTCTCAATTGGTGCAATATCCTTTTTATACTGTGGCGACCAGAACTGCACACAGTATTCCAAGTACAGCCAACAATGATTTATAAAGTGGCAGGATGATTTTTATAGTGGTGCCATTTTAAATACATTGAGTCCCCAGATTAAATTAGTCATTCACTTCATGGCTCTTTGTAGGACATTGCTCTGTGCAAATTGTCTACTACATTCACCTACAAAATGGACAGTCACGACACTACAATAAAAATCTATTGAAGCTCCTTGAGACATCTTCATCCTTGAGACATCTTCATGATGTGAGAGGTACTACAGTATATCAAATTATTTTGATGTTGCTTATTTTTTGAGCAACAATACTATTTGTTTAACCATGTAGATAATTTGATGGTGCCCAATAGTATTAGTGTCTGAAGCCCATCTGCCATAGGGAGTGTGTTGGTGACCACAATTCCCCAAATGTCAAATCTCCAATGTCAGACATGCTGCTCGGAGTAGAAAGTGCTGATTAGGGACAGTACACAAGCTACAGATCATATAAAACTCTGCAACCATTGTTCTTTCACACACCAGGCTCTGTGAACCTCAACCTCTCTCAACTCCACTGGCTCCTCTCCTGCAGCAGATGGAATTCAAGATCTGGTCCTCTAGTTCGAATCCTCCCTACCTCAGTGCCTTCCTACAACCCCACCAACCTGGCCCCTCCTAACCCCACCAACCTGGCCCCCCCTAACCCCACCAACCTGGCCCCTCCTAACCCCACCAACCAGGCCCCCCCTAACCCCACCAATCTGGCCCCCCCTAACCCCACCAACCTGGCCCCCCCTAACCCCACCAACCTGGCCCCTCCTAACCCCACCAACCTGGCCCTTCCTAACCCCACCAACCTGGCCCTTCCTAACTCCACCAACCAGGCCCCCCCTAACCCCACCAACCTGGCCCCCCCTAACCCCACAAACCTGGCCCTTCCTAACCCCACCAACCTGGCTCTGCTAACAGGAACCTGCTTTATAGCCCCCACCCAATCCACTCCCATCATTGGTGGGTGAGCTTTCAGCCATTCTGCTCCCATATTTAACGCCAGTCTTAAAACCTATGTTTTCAACCTTGTTTTCATTCATATTGCCCCTATCTCAGCGCCCCCCCCCCCCCTCTCCCCAGCTTGAGTTAGACATGCAAAGCCATTCCAGCTTGTTTCTTAACTCGGGATTGATGCCTGGCAATAGGGAGGAAAATGCATTTTAAAATAGTGAGGAGGAGGAAGAAGAAAGCCATTACTTTTATTTGAAGATTTAAAGCTGAGAGATCCTCCCAAACGGAAATCTGTGCCTCCATTTACTCTTCAGATTACACAGAATCAATAACTTTATGTTGATTACCACAGTTTCAGTTCTGCTGGTTAATTAAGGATTATACAAGGCAGGGCGAAACCTTGGGCAAGTTTCCTTACTCCACACCCCTAATAATAATCCCTCCAAAAAAAACTCCAAACAATAATAAATTGGTCATTTTCAATCTACGACTGTTTGTGGGACATTGCTGTGCGCAATTGGCTGCCGCGTTCGCCCACAAATATACAGTCAATTCACTTTACAGTATATTCTGTGAAGCGCTTTGGGACGTCCTCCGGACGTGAAAAGCGCTATATCAAATGCAAGGATTATTATTATTATTATTATTAATATCTGGTTAACAATTAACAAGAGCTAATTACTAATGTAATATATTTCCTTTTTAATAGGACACAGAGATCATCAACACTGCTATACTCACTGGACGGACAGTGGCTATTCCCCTCAAAGTGTTTGCAGTAGAAATGAATGGAGTCATCACAGATGTATCACCCAATGTAGAATGTAAATCAACTAATGAGGACACCATTAAGGTAAGTTCATTCAAATAGTGAGACTGCAAAGATTATGAGAGGAAATGTTGGCAAATATTTGCAACTGAATCAAGACCAAGTTTTGTTTGTATATCAATACAACAGACTGGTTTCAGTTGAGAAACATTTGCGTCACACATTGGGTGACAGTTACATGACACATGCGTCAAATGGAAATAAAGTCTTTTAATGATGGCATCACGGAGAATGACACATGGAAATGGCTGCTATGTTTGCAGATGTGGGACTTGTAGAGAGTGTTATCTAGTCAAAGCAATACACCTATTACAAAGCAACATTAGGCAGCTTAACTTGCAGTTAGCAGATTGGAATTGCATTAAATTGTGGGAATAACAGTAATAAACACAGGTAGTTTATATCAATGTAGTTATTTTACTCTGCAATGCTTGACCAATAGAGCCACTCTTCAATCCTTGTTTGACGTTAAACCTGTAACGTTTTATGTACAAACAAAAGGTTCACTCCAGTGACCAGAGTTGCCTGCAATTTGCTTTTACACTGATGTGATAGTAATCCATTTCCACATTCTATATACTCTTCCCCATCTAAACTGGAAGTAATTGGGAGCAAAAAATATAAAGAGAATAATTGATTGCTGGAAATATGGTGTGAAAACCGTGGTATTCCTCAATTGCTGCTGGCCTTAATTTATTTCCGCCATTAATTATTATTGCTCTTTGTGAACCCAGCATTCCAGCTCCATATTGAATCTGACTGGATTCACACTGAACACTGATAAATGCAGCCATAATTTGTTGATTTCAATCTGTAGTTTACATTTTAGTATTATTCTGTGGCAGTTTTATCATCGGAGTTCTATTCCATAGTCACTGCTAACCACTGATGAATGTGTGATCAGTTGAACTTAATGGCTCTGATTCAGGTGATATAAATATTGACTGTTTCACAATTCAGGGAAACCATACGAGAAGTACTGTTTTGTTCAGCTATCAAGAATACAGGGAATCACTGAGAAATAGCCCACGGAATACACAGTCAATTCACTTTACAGTATATTCAGTGAAGCGCTTTGAAACGTCTGAAAGACGTAATAAGGCGTTATATCAAATGCAGGGATCATTATTATAAATAATACACTGTTGTACTGGTGAGCAAAATTCTTCTCTATTGTAAATGGAGAATCCATTTGCAGATATTAGATGTACAAAGTCACCTTTCCCAAGCAAGCGTTGTTAGGCTTCTGGTGTATCTTTGAATTCTCTCCCAATGACATACTGAGGCTACAGCAATAGTACCTTTGCACTCAACAAGATAAATTAACAGTGCAGTGTCCTTGAAACTCCGCCAGAGTTCTGAGAAAGTAACTGCGCATCAGCACACTGTTTTACATAGAATTCATTATTACCTAGCGAATTGGTTTACTTGTTAGATCACACATTCACATTTTGAACTGGCTGAAATAGAGTATATAAACAGGTTTAAATCAGAATAATTTTAGCCAGTGTCATCTATTTTTCTAAATTTTTAATATTCGTATTTAGTTTAAAGTGTAGTATGGGAATCCAGATTTAGCATGGTTGCCCTTTTGCAATCTAACTGTTCAGGAGTATTCTTAGATAATGTTAGATTAGATCAGTTGTTGAAATATAGGAGCTTTTCCAATGTTTCAGAGCTTCACAAAATTTACAAATCTTTCCCATGAAGTGTACACATAATTTGGGAAGAACAATGTGTGCAATTCAACTCCATTTGTTGTACCATGAAATAGATTGAGTGGACATATTCAGTGCCCCAGTCCATCCTCATTAACAAAGGCACAGGAGTTTCATCATCAAGAAGGGGAAAGTCATTTTTGCAGCCTGTGAATCTCCATCAGTGTTGCACTGTAAACCTTCTGACTTACAGTAATAATCTGAAAAACACCTTGAAAGTCAGAAACACACTGGCGATCCTCTATCATTTCTATTTTCAATTCCCCACCTTCAAAAGAACACCCAAGTCTTTCATGCCATTTATATTCCTTATGATTTTTGTATTCCATTTAAATAGTCCTGTAGCTTATTATGGGCAGCCACTGCATTTTATTTCAAATTGTTATGTTATCCTCCCCACATTGACGCAGCTGAGATTGGGAATTCAGCAAAGTGAGGATTGATATGCTCTATCTCTTTGTACATCTCAGATATTGATTAACACACATTTCCAGTGTGTTTGCCAAAGGAGTCCTCAGAGGTAATTTCTGGCAATGTCGATCACTGTAGCCCTCTTACTGACAGGGAGGGCCTATACATAATCCATTTACAGGCAGTGATTGTTGTGTTAGAATTAGTTGCCTGTTCCTGCATTTGGAGGATTTTGCAGTTTTTCTTAACGTTAGCTACTCCTGTGATTCTAGGATTGATGGTATTGTATTAAATCTGTAATAGTCACATGAATATTACATCTGATTAAATATGATACAACAGTTGTTCCAAATTGCCTGCAATTAAAATGTAGAGAGTATGTGGCCCAGTAACTACTGTATAACCTTGGAGTGTTGGATCTGCAAGCAAGGAACTCTCTATTTAATTACATTTCAGATGTTAACTTCCCATTGTGCTTCTGCTGGCACCTTCACTGAGGAATAAGATTGATAACATTACTGGAGATAGTCATCAGCCGAAGAGGAACATTGTACTAAACAATGTAATATGAATGTTAGTTTTTAAGATATTCTCTTTCTTTCTGTAAGAAATGAGAAGGAATGTAAAGATTGTAACAGATTGTATTGACAATTAAAAACAAAACCCTTTAAAATTTAGAGGAGAGCAAACTCCATTCAACTGACTGAGTGAGTTAGTGGTCAAACAGCAAGACAAACTCGGTACCTTCGGTGTGTTTCTCACTCTTTCCATATCACAACAACAATAAGATTACATTTGTATAGCGCCTTTCACGTCAGGAAGACGTCCCAACCATACGTTGGGCAACAATTCTCCTTCATGACTTCTTGTGTGACCATACACCGTCACAGTACGTGACAGTAATTACCTGAGAAGTTTCAAACATTAAAGGTGCTTTACCAGCTCCTCAAACTACCTCCCTGTTTATACTTTTCCAATGTGAAGATATTGTTCTGTTATTTTTTTCCTCTGGTTATATTCCAATAAGAGCTTTTGCTAAAAAAAAACAACTCATCGTGAAGACAGTTTTCCATCAGAGTGTAAAAGGCGTATTACAGATTAGGATTTGCCAATTGAGCGGTCTCCCAAGTGACGCACGGTGTGCTTGCCTGGTTGGCGTTGTGTTCTTCAGATGTTTGACTGCGAATCAATATTTTTCAATTGTTCAATTTTGATTGTAGTATTAGAGGAGGTGGTGGGCCCCTGTAGTATTAGTAATGTGTTCTCAGTAATTAATGTCACTTCTGGCTCTTGCAGCTATTGTAACTTTTGTGAATTCTCTGGTGAACTATTAAGATTAAATGAGGTATTTAGCATTTACTGTCACACATTGGAATCCATTAGCTCTGTTTTGACTCATAGCATGACATTATTTGTTTATACCCTTTTATTCAGGCTCTTCTGCATCTGTAACATGAGATTAATGAGGCAAATATTTTCAATGTGGTTTTGTTTAACCAATATTATTAACTCTTTCAGCGTGGTTTATGCAATGGATTTGAGTTGATTTCCTTTCTCAAAACATTTAGTCCCACTGGAATTTTTTCTTTTGTGTTTAACAAATGTATATTAACAGTTTAAAAATTAAACTGATTCATCTTACTTTAAGAACAATGTTGAAATCGCTGTACTTAACTACTGCAGTGAGTGTTAATGACCTCAACAGGAAAGATGCCATAGCTGGAGCTGCATTAACATCAATCAATTTATAGTCCGCAACCACGGTGCTTCAGAGAGTCGATCCCTTCAGCTTGGTTCAGGCTTCTTATTCAGTTGGACTCAGTAACCTCGTCTCTGTTTTTCCCAAAGGAAATTGTGTCAAGATTTGCCAGCTAAATTAAAAACAAAATCACTGTTTTATATGTACATGTCTCAGCCTCGATAGATAGGACTATTTATCTTGAAGTAAGAGCAGTAGCAAAGTTAAACAGTGAGGAGACAAGTTCGAAATAGGAGCTAGACGGCACAAAATTGAGTGTGAATTATTGGTTGTGGGTGCAGCTGATGACAGAGCTCAGTTTATTGTAAGTCAGTCAATCAGTGGAGGAATCAAGAATGAGACTGCAGTTTGGCCCCACTGGGATCAGTGATTTTTCTGTAAGTCACTTTGAGAAATTTATTGAAATGGCCTTTGTATGCATTTTTATGTTGATTTGATATCTTGCCGTACAGAATTCAAATCCATTTTGAGTCATAAAAATTGCAGCACAGAAGGAGGTCATTGGATCCATTGAATTTATGCTACTGCTAACTCCTCCACAGGAAATATATCCTTTAATCCCAGTTCCTTGCCTTGCACCCTTTCCTTTGTTTCTCTTAAAATATTTATCCAATACATTATTGTTGAAACGTGACACACTCCACAGAGAACGTTATGGCACGGAAACAGGCTGTTTGGCCTACCTAGCAGTCTGTCCATATTAACGCATTTTGGTATAGCATTGGCCTTGCTTAAAGCACAGTCACACACAGTAAACCTATGCCGGACACTTCTGCCACTGGTTGACCAGATTCCTTTGTGCTCTCAGAAGAGATTCACTGGAGTATAAGCAGGGAAAAGGGGTTTTACTTATATGGAGGAACTAGAGAAATTGCAGCTGTATTCATTTGAACATGGAATGAGAGGAGACCTGACACGTTCAGGTTATGAGGGATAAACTATTAATGGTTTAGTAACTCAGAGGGCATCAATTTATTTATTAATTAAAGAGTTTGGTAGAATATTCTTTACATAAGGACTGCTTTATCTAAAGTTATGTTTTTAGTAGAATCCATAATAGCTTTTCCAAGAAAAGAAAAATATGAAAGAGTATAGGGAAAGAGCAGGGAAGTGGGGCTTAAATGAATTGCTCTTTC